AAAAAATAATAATAAAAATAAATAATAATAATAATAATAATAATAATTTAATAATAACAATAACAATAATAATTATAATATGAATATGAATATAATAATAATAATAATAATAATAATAATAATAATTTAATGCTAATAATATAATAATAACAATAACAATAATAATAATAATTTAATAACAATAATAATTTAATAATAGCAATAATAACTTTAAATAATAGTAATAATAATAAGAATTTAATAATAACTATAAATAATAGTAATAATAATACATTTGAAGAAGAGAATATGAAAGAAGGAAAATAATGAAATATGGAAACTTGGGACTAAAGATGGCCAAATCACCAAACTCGAGGGACCTTGGCTGGTATTAACTCTTTTCGTATAAGTCAAATGACAATATTACCCTCCATTTTGACGGCTGAGACAGGAGGAAGTAACGGAAGGACGCTAGAAGGTAACTTTTGACAACTCGAAGGATGACGGATGGTAATTACGGAAGTTAGGGACCATTGATGGCGATGCCACCAAACTCGAGGGACCATAGGTGGTATTTACTCTTAATTATTTTATTTAAAATTATTTTTAAAATTTACAACCGTCACAACAAGTAAACATGTCATTTTAGACCTAATTGCATAATTTTTTGTGTTGTTCAGGTATTCAATTGCATTTTTTTTGAGTTCGATTGTCTAATTGCACTTTAGAGTGCAGTTGAGTGGCCTATTTGACCCTTATTCCTTTTGTATTTGATTTCTTCGACTTAATTAACAACACCTACAAGCTTTCTTTAATGGAATAAGGCTCAAATTGGTCACTGAACATAATCTGAAAATGCAATTAGACCATTGAACGCTTCAATAATTGTATGCAATTTCACTTGATAGCAAGTTGCCATCAATCTTAGCAGGTTACCTGCTTACGTGGCAGCTGAGTTGACTTTTTAATATATTTTATAATTTTTTTTTTAAAAAAAAAAACAACGGCGGCCACCCCGTCGTTTTATTTTTATTTATTTATTTAATTTTTTCCAATTTTTTTTAAAAAATTATTATTAAAAATTATTTAAAATTTATTAAAAATGCCAACTCAACTGCCACGTAAGCAGGTAACCTGCTAAAATTGATGATAACCTACTATTAGGTAAAATTGCATATATTTGAAATGTTCAGTTGCTTAATTGCACTTTTTTGGAGTGTTCAGTGACCTAATTACATTTTTTTTTTCGTTCAGTGGCTTAATTACATTTTCAGATTACGTTCAATGACCAATTTGAACCTTATTCCTTCTTTAAAAAAAAAAAAACAAACAAACAAACAAAGAAATTAAAGTGTAAATACTCACTATGGAATATGGATTATCTTAGGAGATGAGGAGTAGGTGAAATTTGAGAAATAAAATAAAAAATAAAAAGTGGGGGTGATAGTTGGGAGGGTGAGAGTGAGGTTGGCGACAGAGGCAAACGTGGACAGATTCGAGTTTGGACAATTTCCCGAGGTCGCCACCACCCTTAATTTAGGGAACTTTTTCATGCACCGCCGTTTAGCCTTTATTATTATTATTTTTTTTTTTTTATTATTTTTTTTTTTTGGGACCATATTCTCCTGAACCTAAACTCTTTCTATTAATTAATGATTTTTTAATCAAACCTAATCCTATTCGTGCTGAGTAAGACATCAAAACACTCTTTTTAAAGTAATTTTAAGAAAAAGACAGGTCACACTTATATGAGATCGTCTCACAGATTTTTATGCATTATACGGGTCAGATCGGGTCAGTACAGATCAATATACAAATGTAAAACTTAAAATAACAAATGTAATACTCCGTACTAATTAAGAATAAAGTATTTGTTACTTATAAAAAAACGTAATGTTTTTTAGGACAAATATAATACTTTTACATTTTAATGTAAACGTATTACCTTTTTTTTTTTGAGATAATAAAAGTATTACTTTTATTGTCACAAATATTATATTTTTTCTTATAAGTAATGAATTGGTTAGGCTGGACACTTTTAATTAAGAAGAATCAAATATACCTGCATCCTATCTCATTTATTACTCCATGCATAAGTATCAATTAATGATTATAATAAGATAAATCAACATTAGTTGCTTATAATTGACTGATTCAAACAAAAAATGTCAATAAAGAGCTCTCAAAAAAAGTCCGCATATTGTCGAAACAGATTTAACTCATTGGTTAAGTAGACAGTATTTGGAAGAATATAATAGACTAATATCAAAACTTGGCAACGGCAGTTAGGGATTATACCAAAATGAGCACATCTCTTTTACGTACTAACATTTGTCACTATCTGTTGAACCATTAAACCATTTGGATTTATATCTTTTTAAATATTCTGTTGATCCAGTGTATAGGGTCTTGAGGTTGAGAATTCAACCTTGAGAAAAGAAAAAAGTCGGCATATTAATCAATTTTGAAACGGGGAGATAATAATAATAGTAATACCAAATTTGATCAAGTTTGGTTATTGAAAACTAAACTCCTGTAGCTACTAGTAGTTAAGCGTAATTTGATAAGTCCTTTTATTTTTAATTAAAGTAAGTTACATTATATTATTAATTAACTAGTAAATTATATTAAAAATAAAAAATTGTTCTCAATAAAAATCAATTCTTCTTAACTTGACATTAAATTCAATAATGCTCTTCCTTTGGTATTCTAATTTATGTGTCGTAATGTAATAATATTTTGGTACTATATATAAAATACTAAGGCATCATACATCTTTTCACCGAAAAAAAAAAAAGGCAACATACTTTATTTTTTTTAAAAAATATTTTTCTAAATGTTATAGAAATCAAAACGAGAATACTAAAAATGTATTTATAAATTGGAGAAATATTTTTTTTTCTGGAGGAATAAAAAATTAAAGAAAGAAAAATAAAAAAATACATTTATTTTTCCTAATAATATATATTATATATTATATATTATATATTATATATTATATATTAGGGTCTTAATTAAGTGGTGCAAGTTGACTAGGTTTATTAAGTGGTTTGGTTAGACTAAACAACTAGAAGTAGTTAGTTAACCAGACTCTGTGCCTAATATAAATCTGAATTGATGTGATACAAGATATTCATTATATAGCACATACAGATACAATACGCATACTGCTCAGTAGACACCAATACACCCAGGGACGGAGCCAGGAATTTCGTTGAGGGGGGGCGAAGCAGCAGGGACGGATCCAAAAAAAATTTCCAGTGAAGGCGAAACGCTAAACCAAAAGAGATAATTTGAAAAAAAAAATATCTAAGAAATATAGGTATAAATATTATTGGATATGAGCAAAAAATAAAACCCATCGAAACTTTATAAAATATCATAACAAAATATGAAGCATAATTAATTTGATAAAATAATTTAAATAAAAAACACATTATAAATTACACATCTCATAATTAATATAAAAGAATGTTATATATGTGTGTGTATTAAATATTAAAAAAAACTATTAAAAACGTGATTGTGTTGAAGCAAAAAAAACTGTGAAAATATGTTAATGACAAAATTTGAACCCATGACCTTTATTATTATAACCAAACACATGATTTGTCAACTAATCTAACTCACTTCCTATATATATCCATTTGTTTTTTTATACTAATACTAAAACTTGTACTATATATACATACAAAAGTTATATATGTGGTGGGGGTGGGGGTGGGGTGAGGAGGGCAGCTGTCCCCCTGCCCCCCTTTTGGCTCCGTCCTTGAATACACCATCTAGGGTTCTAGCTTAATAATAGCTAACGGTCTATCGTTAAGAGACAACACAGCAGGAACAGGATTCTGAGTCATGTATGATGCAAATAATGGCTAACGATCCATTGTTAAGAGCCCACACAAGGCAACACGAACATCAAACTGTGGCTGGAGATCAACACGGCTATGCTTTCGCTCTTATACGATGTCAGACTTTTCTTATACTATTATTCAATATAGTTAGATTATTCTATATCTAACATTTTCGTCTCTCCAATTTAAAAATAGAGAATGAAAAATTGAAGTAAACCATCATTACACAAATGATCATTTAAATATAAATTAAATATAACACACACACACACACACACACACACACACACACACACACACACACACACACACACACACACACACACACACACACACACACATATATATATATATATATATATATATATATATATATATATATATATATATATCATAAGCTACATCATATCATTTGGTAAAATATTTTGATGAAATATATGGAGTGTATACCATAAAGATTATATAGATTCTACTAGAGTCTTTCTTGTTAGACATAATATTATTATTGTTATATTTTTCTGTACTCTCTGAATAAGTCAATAAGTTAGAGTTATATGGCTAGCCTATTGTATAGGGTTAGTTAACGTAGATTGCTATATTATTGTATTATCTTCGCTATTGTTCAGTTAATGCAATTATCGTTGATCTCATCTTTCTAACCTCTCCGAAACTGACCTCCAAGATTGGTTTTTTATCATAGAAACATCATGTTAGCTTCCACTATTTTAAGGCTCACATCTGTGTTTAACACGTGTCACAACTGACTTAAGTCACCCATAGTCATTTGTCATTTCAACCTTATGAAGGAATCTTCAACATATGTTTCCTATTCTAACTTTGTAAATACTACCATTCACCAACTTGAAGAGAAACCTAGTACATTTTTCAACCTATTCAAAGCGTTCCAAACTCACTTGTAATTTGAAACTGTACTCGACTTTATTAATAATCAATAATATTATTACATGCCTTCATCCGGGACATGTTTGCCATCTGCAACGCTCCTTATACGGGCTAAAACAAGCCCCTCGGGCATGGTTTAAAAGACTGCACGATTACTTATTCTCTGCAGGTTTTCTTCCGTAAAAAATAGATGTGTCCTTATTCCACTACTCGGTGTCTAGCTCCCGGGTCTTTTTACTTGTGTATGTAGACGACATCATCATGATGGGGAACGACGTTCCCCTTATCACTACACTGCTACATCAGTTAGCAACAGTCTTCAAAATTCGAGATTTGGGTACACCGGGGTTCTTTCTCGGGATTGAAACAATCAAGCAAGATACGGGTATGCTGCTATCTCAACGTCGCTATATGAATGATATCCTCACACGTGCTGGAATGGCTGACTGCAAGCCGCTCACCACACCAGCAGCTGTAACTCAGTCTGTGTCCCCGACTGAGGAATCGTGTGATAATCCGACTCAATATCGTCGTCTCGTAGGCGCTCTCCATTATCTGACTATCACCAGGCCGGACTTGGCATACGCTGTTAACCGTCTGTGCCAGTTCATGCACTCACCTACAGTGGATCATTGGGGTCTTTTGAAGAGGGTTCTACGGTATATCAAGGGCACGACTAACTATGGCCTATGTCTCTCTGTATCCACTTCTTCTGATATTCATGCTTTTTCGGACTCCGACTGGACAGGAAGAGTACAAGTGGCTATGCGGTGTTTCTTGGCTCGAATCTCATTTCTTGGTTATCTAGGAAGCAGCGCACCGTTGCACGTTCGTCGATTGAGGCCGAATACAAGCCTCTTGCAGATGTTTCTGCTGAGGTCACTTGGGTTGTGTCTCTGCTTCGTGAGTTGGGTATGCACACTGGCAAGCCTTCTACGCTTTGGTGCGACAATCTCGGAGCCACTTATCTCTGCGCAAACCCAGTTTTTCACGCCGGGACGAAACATGTGGAAATCGACTATCATTTTGTCAGGGACAAGGTTGGTTCTGGAGACATGGTTGTTAACTTCATATCCACCAAGGATCAACTGGCGGACATCTTCACCAAACCGTTGCCAGGACCCCGGTTCACTACTCTACGAGACAAGCTCAACGTGGTTATGCACCACCCTTGTGCTTGAGGGGGTGTGTTAGACATAATATTATTATTGTTATATTTTCCTGTAATCTCTGAATAAGTCAATAAGTTAGAGTTATATGGCTAGCCTATTGTATAGGGTTAGTTAACGTAGATTGCTATATTATTGTATTATCTTCGCTATTGTTCAGTTAATGCAATTATCGTTGATCTCATCTTTCTAACCTCTCCGAAACTGACCTCCAAGATTGTTTTTTTTTTTTTTTATCATAGAAACATCATGTTAGCTTCCACTATTTTAAGGCTCACATCTGTGTTTAACACATGTCACAACTGACTTAAGTCACCCATAGTCATTTGTCATTTCAACCTTATGAAGGAATCTTCAACATATGTTTCCTATTCTAACTTTGTAAATACTACCATTCACCAACTTGAAGAGAAACCTAGTACATTTTTCAACCTATTCAAAGCGTTCCAAACTCACTTGTAATTTGAAATTGTACTCGACTTTATTAATATAATCAATAATATTATTACATGCCTTCATTATCTCTCAACTATATTCAGTAATTTTAGCTAGCCTAGCTAATTTTTTCCTACATTTATTTATGTTGTAATTTTGACCAACACTCAACGTAAGCGTTAAAATAAGAGATTAATCCATTTAGTGCGATTTACATATTATTATATAAAAATATAATTTACTTAATAGTTAATACACATCCTGAAGTAAAAACTGTGAATTTTTTTCACTTCAAAAATAAGGGATTAAGAATCATAATCTCAATTTGAGAAGCAACCAAAATAGATTAATAAAAGTTTTGCAATATAAAATAAAATAGTAGCTACAATTAGTAGGCAAGATTTTGGATTCCTTCTTGCACGTGATATTGCCTCAAAATCTGGAGATATGTTCATAATAATAATATATACTGTAAAGGAAAAGGACTAAAAGCCACTACTCCACTCAGTCCACTTAATTCCTCCCAATTTTAATTCATAACTTTTCAACCTCTCCATTATATTAATTAATTAATTAAGAACTTTTCAAACAATAATGACTGTAGTTTTATTTATGTTTATACAAAGCCTTTCAATTTGGACCCTTTCTTTATAATTCAAACCTTGGGGCAATACACCTTTCAAGGAACCAGTGGTTGTTATGGACACAATTTTCTTTTAAAATATACCATTATTATTACTTTAAGACTTTAGTTTTTATCCCATCTTATTTGAGAAGAGTTTTCTTAAGATATGTTAATTATTTTATTTATAAAATTCAAATTCAAGACTTTATTTAAAAGAGAATTAAATTTATTCTATTTGAACCACAAGTTATCAGTATGGAGACATTATATTTTCCTCTTAACATTATCAGTTTCACTTTCGAACTTATATTTGAAGTCTCTTATTTAAGATAGCTAGTCTTATATTCGTGTCTATCTTAAATATTGTATAAATGTGTGTGTATTATATGTTTTTACTTTTTGTACAACTTATTTGGTAAGTATTGATATATTTAATTTATTGGTCAATCTAGTGGAAATGTTGGTAGTTCAATTTGAACTAGATATTTAACTCATGAATTAAGCTGGACACTTCAGGAGTTTTCAAGTTTAGTCTCAATTCTTTTCAAAAGGAAAAAAAAAATTGAGAAACTACACTTTTTGTTATTAAATTATAGGGAAATAACATGTTCGTCACCTAAATTGTTTGCGAAGTTACCTTTTTTGTTCATGAATTTTGCTAGAGTACGTTGGGTTAAAATCACTTCACAGAAATTTGAGGAACAAATAAAAAGTCACTTCACAGACAAATGAGCGACAAAAAGTAGTAACGGTATAGTTGAATGTTGAAAAGTGCTATTTCTTATAATCTAGGCGTGAAAAGTGTCATTTAAAAAAGAAGAAGAAAAAGATATTTTTAGTCTTTCAAATTCTAATCGAGAAATAAATTCGTAACTAATGGTCCGTTTAGAAACACAAAAAATATTTTTTGAAAATTTAATCATTTTTAAAAAATCTTTTTTCACTTTATGGTGTTGGCTGAAAGTAATAAAATGGTGTTTTTTTTTTTTATTTGGTTGAAAGCCATAAAATTGCATGCTTTCTGTTTGATTCATTTTTAAAAACATGAACATACATTAGTTACAAAACTATTTCTTATAAAATATTAATTATTATAATAAATATAATAATAATAATTTATATTAAAATAAAATTATGAAATAAACTTTGCAATAGTTATAAAGATTAATAATAATTAGTATAATAAAAAGATATAAATAAATAACTTTTAACTTGCAACTTATTATAATATAATAAAAATAAACACATAAATTGATAAATATAATAATTCTGAACGAAAGAAATTGAAGATTTTTTTTTTTTTTTTTTTTTGGATTCGATCAGATTAAGATTTTTATTATTTGATTTGGACTAGCTAGCTTAATATTTAATTAAAAATTGATAAATGTAATACTTTGAACTAAAGAATTTGAAGAACAAAATTTAGTTTTTTTGTTTTTGTTTTGTTTTGTAGGCCGGGCAAAGATTTTTATTATTTGGTTCATCCAAACTCAATCCATATTTTAATCAAACATATTTTAACCAGACTAGTCCAATTAAACTTAATAATAACTAAATAGATGGAGGGTCAATCCGTCCATTTGACACCAGTCAAAGAGAGAGAACTGAGCATAAAATAAGAATTCAGAAAAATGTCTTCCAAATGTCGAAAAATATTTTTCGCCAAAATGAATTATTTTCCTTTGACAGAAATGAGTATTTTCCGTTGACTTCATTTTTCGTGAGACGGGTCGAATCAAGATTGAAATAGAGCAAAACTTATACTCAAAAATGTAATACTAATAAAGAATAAAATATTTGTTACTTATAAAGGGAAATGAAATACTTTTGAGAAAAATGTAATATATTTAAATCAAAATGTAAAAGTATTACATTTTTCTTCAAAAGTAGGTATTACACTTTCTCTTATAATTAACAAACATTTGGCTTTCAAAAAAAAATACAAAAATACAAAAAAAAAAAAAAAAAACAAACAAACAAACAAACACTGTATTTCTAATTAGTATTACATCTTTAAATTGATCTAACCTGTCGCATGGACAAAAATCTGTGAGGCGATTTCACACAAGTTTTACCAAAATAAAATGATTAAACAAATAATTTTTGTTCAAAAAAAGAAAGTACGTGTACCCACTCAATCATTAGTGCATTAAAAATATTTCTTTATTTACCTATTTAATTTTGTACCATATATTAAAAAAAAAAAATATTAATCCTGCACACACGCAAACTAAAACCCTACCAAAATCATAGTGGCATGAAGGACTCAGACTTGGTATGCAGGTGGACCTTATTTTACTGTTGTGTCTCAGACAACAATAATGTAGAAAGATTTTTTTAACTTGCACTTCAATATTTTATATAGATGCCATGACAGGCTTTTAACCATAAAAAAGTATATACAAATGTATATATATATATATATATATATATATATATATATATATATATATATATTGGTGAGCAAACAAGGATGATTCTATCGCTCTAAATACAATATTATTTAACATTAATTGGTCAGATAAAATATTTGATATTTTAGTTAAATGTTGTTGACTCTATTACATTGTAATATCTGTTCAAATATACTTACTCAATTTAATAAAACATAATAAAGTCAACAACACCACCATTAAGGCTCGACCTTATGACCTCTTACATAACCTCTTACATGAGAGAGGTCACAATATGTCATCTGAGCACAAGTTGCTTGATTTATTGATTAATTAATTTGCTGTGTTATGTCAAAACTTGCTGTTTTTCCTATTGCTTACATTAAACAAAACAAAAAAATTTATCGGATCTAATGAAATTTTTGGCTGTTAATTGCTAATTTCGAAGGATGCTCCTTCATTTGTCAGCTCAAACTACTATTAATCTTTTTTAAAAAATAATTATCGCACCACTCTCCATCATACTTGCCTCAACAACCACATTTAATTAAATTTTATTTCTGCCATACTCTGTGTGTGTGAAAATCACTATTTGAGTGTGAACATGTGGACTTCTACGCACCGTTGAAATGTGAGATTGGACAGTTAAAATTTAAAGAGCGGTGCAATAGTGTTTCCGGTGCAATTGTACAATGGTGCAGTGATGTGGTGCAATGGTACAAGGATGCATATTACAGGTTAAAATTATTATAAATCACAATATCAAGCAAGATGAACAATGCACAATGGTACACAAGCTCACATGTTAATAGAGGATATATATATATATATATATATATATATATATATATATATATATATATATATATATATATATATATATATATATATATATTTTAGTACTACTGAAGCGTTCGAACCCGTGACCTTTCATTATATTTGAGAGAGCCACAGTTGTGTTGTTTGAGTCGTTGGCTATTGATTTTATATATATATATATATATATATATATATATATATATATATATATATATATATATATATATATATATAATAATAATAATAATAATAATAATGATAATAATAATAATAATAAAATGGTTACATACTTTAGCTAAGCTAGACTTGAGTGATACTATTTCTCCATCCTATACTATCATTTTGCACACCATTCGTTGTCTACTTAACCCTAACTTTGTCTGTCAAAAAGGTATAAACAAAGACTGTAATTGGAACGGCAAGCTAGCTTGCGGTATACTTAAATTTGGTCATGTTTCATAGACAAATTCTGAAAAACTGTTAATTATATTTAGACATGGTGACAATTGTACATATATTTAATAGGTATATGTATAATTATATTGTACATATATTTAATCGATTAAATTGTTCATTGGATCTCAAAATAGGTTTTCTTTTTCTTTTTGGGGCTGCTGGGGTGGAAGGGGGGGGGGGGGGGGGGGGGGGGTCACATTGTATACTTAGAACTGGTCAAGAAGGTATATTAAAACTACTATTTAAATGTCAAATACTTTGTGGTTTGATGATATCATTAGGTT